TCCATGTAAATCTGCCTTTTGCCATGGCAACAGGCTGATGGTGATTTTGTCAATTCCAATGATATTCAAGTGGTGCTCCAGAGCTTTTGGGATTGTACCCAAAGCATCTACTGCTATATCTTTATTTTCTTTTGCTTTAATTCTAATTTTTGTCTTTTATTCTGCTATAACTTGGTACTGCAATATCCACTTCATGGACATTTTTATTTTTCTTATTGAAAATTATTGTTTGGGATGTTATGTGGCAAGTCTGTTTGAATTCTAAAGTCCCAGAATAATTGTGCTTCTTCATTTTCTACTTCTATTACTCCCACCAGGTCTGGCTTGTGGGCAGATGGTACTTCTTTAAAATATTAATTACAGATCACTATTTCTTTGTGTTCATTCTTTGTTTCATTGTGACAGCAACACAACTTTTCTTCCAGTAGTCCACCGTTACTGGTCCTTCGACAACCAACTGTCCTGAATCCTGTAGTTCATTTGTTCCTAGATATCCAGGAACAGCAGAGTCCTTATTGGCCCAACTAACCTGGTATAAATTACTTCTTACCATATTACTTATGGGAGAGACATTCTCTGTTTGGCTCCTCTAATAAGACCTGTCCAATAAAACTGAATCTCTAGCCCTCATTTTCCCCAGAATACAAATGCCCCACAACCACCTCAAGATACTGCCTACTGAGGGCTAATATTCACAATAATATGAAGTCATAGCTGCTTCTTTAATTGAAGTTGGCTTTAAGATATTTCAAGTTCTTTCCAAGAATCTAGGATGCCACAATGTATTGATGCAATATACAAGCAGATTGAAGAAATGTGGCATCTTGCAATTGATAGATGGAAATTTTGTCAATGGGTAGATTTTCTAGGATTTATGGGTATGGCACACAGTGTGCTGATAACCACTGGGACTACCATGGCCAGTTTAACATCATAGTAATTTAATTTCAATTTTCAGATCTTGATATCTTGATACCAATTTTTAGATCTTTTCCTAAATCTGTGTCTTCTATTCTGCTATCCCCTGGAATTGTCAACAATTTTGAAGCATACCTACTATATCTGGTATGTTATGACATTACTTGAAGGGATTAAATATTAACATTGTTAAAAGGGAAAGAATATAATGTTTGTTTATTTGATCAAAGTTAAACCAGATATTATTACTTAATAGGCTTTTGTTGACCAGGCTGAATGACAAACTTTTAAAAATACGCCTATTGATAACAGATGGGATATGGAATAAAGTGATTGTTTCTTATATTTTAAGAGAAAAGTTGTTTAAATTGTTTATAGATGTAGGAAGAAAGTTACTTTATTTCTTTTTTGTTATAGTCCTTTTTTCTTTTTCTTTTCTTTACTCTTTCATTTTATTTTAGGAACTTTTTACTTTTTCTTTCTACTTTATTTTTTTTAATTGAAAATTTTACAA